TGGCTGCGGAGTACTCTTGGCCTCTTCATCAATTAGATGTGAAGAATGCGTTTCTTCACGGTGATCTGGACAAGATTATTTATATGGATGCACCACGGGGCTTTTGTGGTGAGGGGGAGTATGCTGGAAAGGTATGTCGATTGCGTAAGTCTCTTTATGGACTGAAACAATCGCCACGAGCCTGGTTCTCTCACTTTAGTGATGCAGTCGTACGATTGAGGTTCACCAGATGTCATTCTGATCATACCTACTTTATTCGATGGAATACTTCTGGACAGTGTGTCATTCTTCTGGTATATGTTGATGATATTATTATTACTGGTGATGATGTTTCTGGGACTGTGCAGGTCAAGATAGACCTTAGGAAGGCCTTTGATGTGAAGGACCTTGGATTTATGCTATATTTTCTTGGGATTGAGGTTGCCCGTAGCGGCAGGGGTGTTGTTCTTTCTCAAAGAAAGTATGTTTTGGATCTTCTTTCAGACACTGGGATGTTGGGGTGCAAACTGACATCATCACCCATGATTCCAAACCTGAAGCTTACTGCTAAAGGTGAGGAGTTGAAAGATCTGACAGTTTACCAAAGATTGGTAGGTAGACTTATCTACTTAGCCAATACTAGGCCGAACATTTCATTCGCAGTCAGCCGAGTTAATTAGTTCATACACAGGCCATGTCAGCCTCATCTTGATGCAGTTTGTCATATTCTTCAGTACCTCAAGTCTTGTCCTGAACTTGGGTTATTTTATGTATCAGGATCTCAGACCGGTTCTTTAGCCTGTTATTTAGATTCAGATTATGGGGGAGCATGTGATGGTCGATCTACTACGGGCTTCTGTGCTTTTCGAGGGACTCATCTTATCTCTTGGAAGAGCAAGAAGCAGACAGTTATCTCCCGCTCGTCAGCAGAGGCAGAGTATCGGGCACTGACACTTGGCACGTCTGAGATTATCTGGCTACGATCGATTCTTGGCGAGTTGGATTTTTCACTGACCTCTCCTTCCACATTATATTGTGAATATCGATCTGCTATTCAGCTCGCTTCTGACTCTGTACTACATGAGAGGACGAAGCATATAGAGATTGATATTCACTTCCTTCGGGAGAAGGTTAGTAGTGGTATTGTCACTCCATCGTTTGTGGGGACCAGTGATCAGGTTGCGGATGTTTTTACCAAACCTGTCACTCTGTCTATTCTTCGGGACTCCGTTGTTAAGTTTGACTTAGTTGACATTTTTGCGCCTAACTTGAGGGAGAGTGTTGGAGATATAATAGCAGCTTAGTTTATTAGGATTTTATTAAGTTTTTCTTTTTTACCTTTTTGTGCTTATGGTAACTCTCATTGACTGTATATACGGGGGCTCTACACTTAGTTTATATCCCTTTTCATTCACATTTTATTTCAAGTGTTTTCAACCATCATAGTGATAGATAATTTTAATTTGAATTATTGTTAGTAAATTGAGAGTGAAAATAACAAAATAAAATGAAAAACAACGAAGCAAAGTTCATGCATGTGACTTTGCAATTGGCCAAAGAAAGAAAGATGGTGTCCAATAGTTATTTTTTTGTACATATATGGCATAGTCTAACTCAGTATCAATGGACATATTCATATTTCCATGTTTGAAAAATCAGTCAAAGGAGCACTTTTGCTTCTTCCAAACTGTCTGCGTTATTGTACAGTAGTGGAAAATATTTGAGCAAGCAGTTATATCTGGTATTGTTACGTAATATAATTATTTAATAATAACTTAATAAGTAGCCAATGACAAGACTTGGCTACGTGGAGTAGACCCCACTCGCTCCTAACTTTTCCTTTGTAGCAAACTCTTCAACTTGTTAGGCAGCAGTTGCAAAGCCTTTTCCTTTCACCAATCAAGGCTAGTGGAGCAAAGGGATTAGAAGCTTCAAAGATAATAGAGGCGAAAGAAATGTCCCAGCAGTGACCGACTTTCTTTGACTTTTCTTAATTGTATGATTAGTGGCTTAGGCCCTTTGTGCACGGCATTTGCTTGGCCAATTGCTTCTGATTTGACTTCTTCTTTTGGCTATAGTACATATCTACACTCCTCTAAGCAATTACCCTTCATGTGAGATGGTAATCAGCCTATAAAAAAAATGAAATTTATTTTATTTATTTATTATTAAACGATTATGATACGTGATAATGTTGATACGTTATAATCGTTATAATTTTTTATATTTAAGTGAAAATTGAAAGTAAGTCTCTCTAGAAAAATTTATAATTACTTGAGTTCTGAAAGAAAGCTTATTTGAGGGTAAATTCATATTTAAACTTTTATGTAGGCACTTAAGTCCACTTATTTTTTAAATTTCAAAATTATCTCTAACAGTGTTAGTTTTGTTTAATTATAAAAAGTCATATAGGTTAGATTATTGAAGTATATACGAAAACCTATGATTTAATTATATATGAAAACCGTTTATTAAATATTATAATAATTAACGGAAGTTTTATATGGAAGTTATATATTCTGATAGTTATATATGAGAAGTTTAATGCGCGAATAAATTATTGGTCTATTAAGTTAAAATCAGATCACAAAATTTCCTTAACAACAGTAATGTATAATATAGAGATGTTGAACAATGCCAACAGAGTTCAGTAATATAAATGTTAATATATACTTGAAGTTACAATTAGGGTCATGTTATCATAATAGTCATATTATTATACTAACACTAATGTTACTATAGCGAATTTTAACATACAATTGCAAATCTTGATACGTATATTATATAACATACACTTTAATATTCATAGTAACATTAAAGTTTTGTGCTCAATAACACATCTAATTTTACAAAATACAAGACAATAAGTTTTTTACAATAACATCAAATTGCAAATTATTTTAGTGAAAATACAATTCAGAAAATAAAAATTTACAAAATGACGAGTAGTAACGCACAATCAATAGTTAAATTACGACACTCAACACAAATTGTGAACATCAAGGCATCAAAATTTTGAACTCTATTTTTTGGTTCACATACAGTAAAATGAACTTTTTTCATTGTAACCAAGGAATACTCGATTGTCTTGCGCAATAAAAAAATCAACAAAATCAAAATCTATAACACTTTAATTTAGTATTAATATATGAGTTCTCTTGAATCTTAGTTACAAGGTTAATGCCCACTTTGATAGAATTAAATTCCTAATTGTTATTAATTTTTTACCATGTTACCAATTTTTATGAGCATGTTACTATTTTTTTAATGACCATATTACTATATTTATTAAATATGTTACTATTGTTATTTTTTAAATATTAATATTATCGATAGGGGCCAAAGTAAACTGAAATAGTAAATTGAAATTTTATTTTATGGAATGTAATGAGTTTAAAATTTGAATATGAACTGTTTTTGATAAATATCGGGTTCTTATTTTTTGGATTAGGAAATATTGTGCCTTTAAAGATTATAATCGAATTTGAAGACAATTACGAATGAGATATTTATGACTTGTTACTGTGTTCAAAAACATTATTTATAATATTTATATAATTAAGGGTTACAATAATAAAATTAATAAAAAAATAGACATAAAATCAAATAAATTTTCTTGACGAACTCCTCTCCAAACAAATCTATACAAGGAGATCGATTTCAAAATTTCCGTATGTTTAATCGTAGAGTAGAGGTGGGCTTTGGGCCAGTCTGACACGGCCAACCAGTAAACTGTCCAAGCCCATCTCTGGACTAGGCCAGGTCAGCCTGACAAAATATAGGAATGGCCTATCTATCGGATTTGACTAGTGCTTTTATCTTATTTAAAATTAAATTATAATATTCATAAAATTGTAAAATAAGCCTATTAAACTCGAAATGAGACACAGAACCTCACTTTTATTTATTGAAATAAAGGTTCGATAGGTTGAGGGTTTTCTAATAAAGATAAATGAAAGATTTGTACTTATAAATTTTTCAAAAGATCTATAATCTATAACAAAAACATAATAAATTTAAATAAATTTATTCGACGATTTTAAATAAATTTATTCAACGGCCATCAACATTTTTTTTCAAATCATTCATATTGCACATACACGAATTGCCCTAGTATTGTTATAAACAACTCAAAATACTGAAATAATTTTGAATTTTCGTTTTCACTGATCAAACTAAAATTTTCGATCACTATGATTAACACATATGACTAAGTATGGACATATATACCAATGGTAGGAAGTTTTATTACACTTAATACGAGAAATAGCGAATATTAAAAGAATTGAACAAATTCAAGAGAGTGTTAGAGGATCCTATTATAATTGGGTGTGTCTGTATCGTATGATAAAAGAGGAGATAAGTCATTTATTAGAAAAAACAAGCTTAAAAAAAAAAACAAAAAGTTGCAAATAAGTCAATCTGAGTGCCAAAATGCTGTGGCAATGCGTCCGTGACGTGTTCACACTAGGCCATGCCAGCGCGTGAACTTCAATAACAAGTTGGGCTACTCTAGAAAGGTATTTTAATTTTTAATTTGTACCTTTAAACATTAAAAATTTTAATTTACATTCTCAATATTATGAATTAGTAGTAATGTAGACCTCACCTACATTATCATTCAATTTTTTATTATAAATTGAAGCACGTAAATTGTAAGTGTTTTGAGCATAAACAATTAGTGTTTTATGGGAGATGCAAATGATAGAGTTGACTTTTATTAATCAACTCTATTTTTGGAACATAAAACAGTGTCCAATTGATCGCAAATGAAAACATGTAGCGCTAGACATACTTCACCCTATGCCTAAAGTACTTGCACTTCGAATACTTCAATTTATAACGGAAAATTGAATAATAATTTGAGTTAGATTGATATTGTTACCAATTCATAATATCAAGAGTACGGATTAAAATTTTTATTGTTAGAGGATATAAATTAAAAATTAAAATATCTTTCGGGCTCGGGTGCAAAGTGAGATTAGTCCTAAAAAGTTTGGAACTTCAAGCAACCGCCATTAATAGTGAACTGCAAGGCCCCAACACGCATAACCGAACTACCCTCTCTTTGTCTCTGCCTCTCTGTCTCTCTCACACGAAAAAATGCAACCAAACTTTAAAGATTGAAAGGGTAGGCAACTAATGAAAGCAACAAGCTGGGCCAAAAGTAAAAGCAAAAGGGGAACCCTCCAGTGTCCAGACTCCAGACTTCCCCTCCCGCCAAGGCCCCCCAAGCCCCCGTCCTCCTCCTCCTCCTCTTGTTGGTTGTAGTATTTATTCCCTACTGTTTGTTGGGTGTCCTGAAAAATTGGAGCTTCCAAGGGAGGGTCTAACCAGGCCTCTCTCTAGATTCAAAAATGAGTACTTTGACTGCTTCTCTTTTGCTCCCATCAAAACTGAAGCCTTCCTCAGAAGAACACAATTCTCTCTTCTTCTACAGAAGAAGAATACCCAAGAAAAATCAATCAATAGTCCCTGTAACTTTCTTTCCTTTCATAGCTCCTTTTAAATTCTCTGATTTGTCTTTTTCTTTTTTTGTATAATCAAAGGTTTGATTTATTTATACTCTATATATTCAAGAAAGATATTGATTATGTGGGTTGATTGAACCAGGCTGCTAGGTTATTTGGGCCAGCTATCTTTGAAGCTGCAAAGCTGAAGGTTCTATTCTTAGGAGTGGATGAAAAGAAGCATCCAGGGAAGCTTCCTAGAACTTACACACTCACACACAGTGATATAACCTCTAAACTCACCCTTGCCATCTCTCAGTCCATCAACAATTCTCAGGTAATCCTTATCTGAAAAAACCAAAATAAACTTAAAACACAAATAAGTATACAGATCAAGTTAATCTTTCCCATTTCAATCACTAAATTTGTTTGACTTGAACTTCCTTACTTGGGTATTTGGGTTTTAAATTTTTATCAAGTTTTTCTTTCAAATACAGAGCAAAACAGGGGTTCGTGTATAATCTAAATTCCAAACTGGGGTTCATATAATATACCTAAATATGGGTTATTACTACAGCTTGATCACTTTCAAGGTGATCTTTAGCTGCCAATCATAGATGGAACAAAGCTTAATGAAACATTTTCTGAATGTATGAATCAAGTAGCATTTTTTTGTTTGTGATCTTGGGGTTTCAATATACAAATTTTGAAAGTAAAAGCAGGGGATAACATGGGATTATTGTAAAGAGCTGGGTAGTTTTCATATGAATCATTATATATCACTATTAATCTTGCTTATGAGAGACTAAATTTTAATTGCAGTTTCAAGGGTGGTACAATAGATTACAGAGAGATGAAGTGGTTGCAGAGTGGAAGAAAGTTAAGGGAAAGATGTCACTTCATGTTCATTGTCACATAAGTGGTGGTCATTTTTTATTAGACTTGTGTGCTAGGCTCAGATACTTCATCTTCTCCAAAGAACTCCCTGTGGTAAATTCTCTATCAATCCTTTTGAGACATGGGTTAATGACTGATCATAAGAAATACCATGTTATTTTATCTAAAATCGTAATCTCATCCTTGTGTACAGGTTTTGAAGGCTTTTGTTCATGGAGATGAAAATTTGTTCAGCAACTATCCAGAATTGGAAGAAGCTTTGGTTTGGGTATACTTCCACTCCAACATTCCAGAATTCAACAAGGTGGAGTGTTGGGGTTCACTTACGGAAGCTGCAGGACCTACTAATGGGGTCAGTGGGGCACAAGAGGTTAAAAAGAAGCCAACTTCATCAAGTAACCTGCCACAGGCATGCCCAGTGGCCTGCACATGTTGCTTTCCACCTATGAGCTTGATCCCTTGGTCACAAGATCTCTCTTGTGAGAGTGTGGGGACCACCCAACAGGGCTTGCAGCAGCAACAACCCTAATGCTGATCTTGTGCGTCTCTGTGATTGATATATACATATACAAATACATATGTATACATGCAGATATGTATTTTTTTTTTTTCACATGGGTTCTGTAAAAAACTGTGTAAATTTAAATATTAGCCCAATATCATTTGTTATTCTTAGGTTTATTCTACATCAGCAGAATAACAGCTCCTAAATCAATATATTATCTTTGTGAGTCTACTCATTGTCAATTGTCGTTTGTTGAAACAAATACTCTTCTGGCATCGTAGCTCCGTTTGAAATTTGATTGTAATAATTACACTGCAATATTGAAAATTACTTCAAGTCGTGTGTACGAGAACACTTTTTTTTAAAAAATATTTGTCTTCACCAGTTGTTTAAAAAAGTGTGCAACGATGGCTTCCTCCATGCATGCTGCTTTCAATGTGTTCTGTTTAATAACTACAAGAAAAGGTCAAATGCTTATAGTCGTGGGTTTAGGCTGGTTTGGTTGTGTAGTAGGTATCTGTCCGTTTTGGACGATTATATTGTTGTTCAGTTACGAGTCATGCCCACGATTGTTAGGCTTGTTTTTTTTGGTACTCTGTTTCTTTCCCAAATATAAAGTGGCTAGTTATATACCGAACTTGTAGCTAGGGTTCAACAAGCTTGAGCTAAGTGAAAAAGCTTATTTTTTTAATTGAGTTTAATATATTGTTTAAGTTTGATTCGTTTAAAAAACGAGTCGAGTCCGAACAAGCACAAAATGAACCGAATTCGAACCGATTTTTTTAATGATTTAAGAAAATTAAAAGGACATCATTAAATTAACCTAAGTGCAAGAAAATTTTAATGATTTACTATTATATTTGAGGGTTTTTGTCGGGTTAAGACGGGTTTTGCAAAAAAGTATTCTACCATACTCAATTCGTTTACTGATTTATGTTGTGTATTTATTTTGATTGGCTCTATCTATACCGATTCGTTTATTAATTGTATCTTGTCGAGTTCACTCATTTATAAAATAGGTGAATTAAGTGACACTCAAACCTTTTAAATCGTGTTAACGAATATTTTCACATCTTAGTCTATGGTACCAAAATATTATTTTCTTGTCATGTACAATTTGTAGGATTTTTTTTACAAATTTTTTGGCTCAATAACAATTTTTTTGGGATTTTACAATCTATCATAAAATTATAATTGAGGATCAATCCTAAAATTGTTAACATTGATTTCAAGTACTCCAAAAAAATTACAATTTGACTTATAAAAAGTTATAACATGACTCAAAAAGTTATAATTGTTTTAAGATCCTATCGATCCCAATTTTTTTGTTATAAACAAATTTCAAATACTTTTATCTCAATTCACAAAATTTATAAATTTAGATATTGTAATTTTTCTATGTCGAACTCTAAACCTACATTTGACGACAACATATAGGAATTCATTTTCTTCCAACGTACAAGGGTAGCACAAAATAGGAAAGACCCTCGAATGACTAAAAAAAGGGTCGCACCCAATGCCCAAGCTATCGTCCATAACAGATTTTAATAGAGATAGAGTGATACACAATCTTGTTTTTCATATAAGTATTAGTAAATAGTTCAAATCGAGTATTTCACAGTGGAGGATGTGCATGGTCATGCCTAAAGGATACTACCTGTTCCCGTTTCAAAAAAAAGAGAGAGAGAGAGAGACTGTTTTCTAAAAAATTTCCAAAAGCTGAATACGTTTAAAGTGTCATAAAGTCCCAAGGCTTTTGAAAGCAAAAATGTTTCACAGTTGTTTGGACAATAAAGCTATGTATCCCAAATCAGTTTATTAAATGTTGCATATCAGATGATATGGCAAAATCGTGTGCATTAAATATTTAGTGGGTGTGAGCAGAATCCCCTAATCCAACCATCTATATTGATTTAATATACAAACTTTAGTAAATAATTTGGCAAGCATAGCAATGCTTGTGTTTGGTATATCAAAGGAAGTTGACATTTGTCTGGTAAGTCATTCCAAAATTCCAATTTGAAGGGGCAACATCCCTAGCTAAGATAGTCTGTTTGGTTGTGTAAGAGGTAATTTTGAAAGAAAGAGCTTGGCCACCCAGAGTTGCAAATGCCTGGTACGAAGCTCCCCAGTTTTGGCTCATGCTTATCCACCCTGTTCTGCTTCCCTTCACCCACATTCCGGAGATATCACCGCCTCCGGCGACGTTCATCACGTACACCAACAACCAGTATCCGTTTCCTTGGAAAGAGAATTGAAGTCCACCTTTCCTGATGCATGGTACTCTACAGTATATGCAAACGTAACATAAAATTATATTTAATTGCAAATACCTTTGAATTTAGTGTGTTTGGTTTGATGGAAAGTTGGGAAGATGGAAAATGGGGGAAGGAAAATTGGATAAAAAGAAAGACTTTTTTTTGTTTGGTTACAAAGGAAAATTAGAGGAAAAGTGTTTCCCTCCATCCCACCATTTTTCTTCCTCCCAAAAGTGGGAGGAAAGTGAAGAAAAATGAATTTTTTTTTTTTTAATAATTTGAATTTTTTGCTCTTAAATATACTTTTAAACATTATATCATAATTTCAAACTATGAAACACGGATATTTCTTTAAGTTCGACACATCCCGTATCAGATATAATACTCTTAAATACTCGAAGATATATATCGAATACATACCAAATATATCCAATAATAAATAAAATATATGGATACTTTGTGGATACTTCTATATGCAGAAAAATATTTATAATTTATAATTTTAATTTTACCTCTTTCTTTTAATTGACTTGGAATCATATGACTTGGAAGACACATGGATGCTTTCCAGGTATTATCCATTATGGCATGTCTAAAAAGTTTAAATATGTTGATTACTCTATAATCTTAACAAGAAATGCTTATAAGAAAATAATATAGTTAAATGTAGGTTTTTATTTCTTTGGTTGATCACGTTCACTTTGTAAATATATCATAGTGAGAGCTTAGGTAACATTTTGAAGAAAAAAATTTGTTATTGTTTATTTTTGTTAAAAAATCACTAAAAATTACAGATATCAAGTCAATACATAATACTAGAAATATAAAATATATATTTATAGACGTATCTCGGACATACTCGTATCCTATTTTTTAAAGTTTTATCGTGTCGTCGTATACATATCGTATCGTATCTGTAACTCATATTGGTATACGTAATTCCTAGGTTTTAAATTAAAACCTGCACGTTTCTCAAAAAAACACTTCTAAAATATTTGATTACATATGTTTTTCTTATGTGTGTTTTTCGTTATTATATTTGGTATGCATATCTATATTTATTTGTTTATTTATTTTTATAATGAATGAGTGCGACAATGAATTTTTAAAAATTAATTTGTAATAAAAAAATATTTTTATATGTAAAGATATAATGGTAGATTAAGTAAATGTATCTTTTCTTTTCTTGCATTATCAAACAATAAAAAATTAATTATTTTAACTTTCCATCCTTCATACCAAACACAAAAAACATATATACTAAAGGTGAAAAGCCTATTTCTCACAATTTTTCATCATTCCAATTTCTCATCTTTCTTACCAAACCAAGCATTTAAGTGTTAAAGAGTTCAATTCTAGTATAAGAAGGAAATTTACCTGCGGTACATAACAGGGACAATGCCAGCCTTCCACTGTGCAATCTTTTCGAATGCAGGTTTGGACATGTCAAAGTGACTTCGAGGTGGGTTGCACCACCCACCGTTGTTGGAGTCTTCTGACCAGTTGGGTGGGCAAAGGTTTGTGGCGGTCACAGTGATGAAGGGTGAGCCTTTAAAGCACCAAGATGACTGAACACACTTTATCTGGTAGCAAGTACCACATGCATAGCCATTGTTGAACAGTGTTGAGCTCAGAGCAGTTGTGTCTGTTCCATAACCGTTGTTGAACAAGTTTCCATAACCACAAGCTCCTCCTATATATGAACCAGAAGAACATCAACGATCAGGCACTGTTTTGTAACTGTCATTTTAATGCATCCAAAGGAACCCATTGCCATTAATTAAACTTCAGTTTTTCCCATGATCAAATGCAAAGCAAGACAAATATTATTAGTATTGTGAGATTCTATTAGCATGGTGTAAGTTTTTGTTTCAATATCCGTCATGGACTCGGGAGGAACTAAGACAGATCGGTTGCAGCGTCAAAAAAGGAGGACACCCGCAAAATAAATGATAGTACAAAAAAGTTAGACATGGTGAGAGATTCATGTTATATTACATAATAACTTATGATATCGGACAATACGTACGTTGCGAGTCAAGGCAATAATAATTCAGATTAGTTAATCGATATATCTCAAAGTCAATCAAGAGTCCGGAGACTAGTGATTTATGCAAAATATAGAATGATATTGAAAGAGAAAGTACTGAGTCATATTTAAATTTGCCAAGTTTTATCAGACTATGCCGACAATGATGCTTTTAAAGCATTAAATCAAAGCTCTACTACTATTATTAACATAAAACACATTTTCTAATGATACCTAATGACTGAAAAAACTTCATTCACAAGTACTAATACGTTGCTGAAGCTAGAGATTGATATAAATAGCTAGCGTACCCATGGTTGCAGAAGCCGACTCGTCGCCGTAAAACGTGGCATGAGCAAGGGCCCATGGGCTAGGCTTGTACACCGGTGAATAACTGGCGGCAGATTTGCTGATGATCGTCAATATCCATACCATCAGGAAGAAGGTGAAGCTCCATAAACGAAGGAAAGAAGCCATGGTTGTCCAAACTTGGTAGTAGAAAGCTCCTCCTGAGGCCCTTGTGGAATAATAGTATAATGCCATTGACTTAAACATGTAGCCATTATATAGCATTCCGCTTATAGTTATAGAGTGCCTTCGTGACCCTCACGATTAGAACGTATTGTACCACGTAGCCAAAACAAAGGTGATTATATAACATGGTTGACAACGTGCAGACATGCTTTGGGCTGTACCACCTTAGTATTTGTGGTTGATTGATCAAAATGTACCTACCTAAGAATTGGTCTAATCCTCAAAAAGTCGTGTCCAACATTTTTTGACTAGTAATCTTTAAGGATGTATGCAAAGAAACATCAATATAATAAATCATTTACCAAGTTTTTTTTTTTTTTTAACAAAATAAAACTTTATTTATTCCTAAAGCAAACCATTACAAGAAGCAAAAGAAAAGGCACAGACCACCTTTTCATAACAAAACAAAAAGAAAGGCACATACTACCTTTTCATAACAAAACACAAGTTCCAGCCAAACAAAACAAAGAAGATATTCAGACTCACTAAAACCAAACTAAGTACTGCTCCCCTTTCCAACCAATCCCGAATAATCCCAGCACATAGCATCAGTCAAATAACAACCAAAGTAAATTAACCCATATCATCAAAAACCAACATCCTTTTTTTCCTAGACAAATGCAGTCCTCCCACATCCCTATTTAATGCCAATTTCACCTCAAAAGGCAATTCCAGACCTCCAGAATAATCAAAAGAACTTCTGCTCTGCACTGCCTGATTTGCAAGCCTATCCGCAGCATTGTTAGCCTCTCTGAAAATGTGATACAACTGAAATTCCACACCCCTTAACAAACTCTTAATCTCATTCAGCAAACATAAAGAAGACCATGGACAATCATATAATCCCAAAACTGCATTCACCAACACCCCATTCGTTTCTCAACAAATAATCCCAAAGTTGAATTTTATTCTCTATACATTTTCTCTCCAAAAAAAATCACTTCATCTAATTCTATCACATGTTCAATCATTTAATATTTAGTTAATTTAAAATTCAACTTTTATTTCATACATTATTTATACACAATATTCTAAACATGTTAAAAAAATTATATCGAGTTATTTTGAGAAAATTTTGAAGTTATTTTTAAAAAAATAATAGGTAGAAATTAATTTTTAAATGATTTAAAAAAAATTAATTTTAAATTTGGTATAGTAACAACAATTTTTTGAACGCTAAAATCTTATATTTCATCGTACCTTCATGAATGAGTTATAACTAATAAACAAATATACCCTATTATACATAGAAATAAGCAAGGAAAAAAAGTACAAAATTATTTGCACCCAAATGTATTTTTTTTTACATAAAATGAATATGAAAATACATCACTCCATATTCACCAGTAAGCGTTGTCCTTCAACATCACACAACTATCTATGAGAGACTCTATCGCACTTATTTCGGAGTCGAAACTAAAGTCTTGCCACGTATTGTGGACATTGAAGAGTAGGTTTAATTTCATTGAAATGCCGTAGTTGTGGAGACTCGAACTCAATACGAGAAAATCCAGGATTCTTAACCAATTGCTTGTGGTCCTAGAAGTAATTTTGATAAAAAAAAACTTTTTTTTTTCTAGTGTTGGGGGACCAATGACGGAACTACTCCCTCAAAATTTAAAAATTCTCATTGTTCCCCCTATATTTTCAAAAAATTTAAAAACACTAAATGTGTAAAGATCACACTTGGTGTATTCAAAAAGATCAATTACTAACCCAAAGAGTTCCTTTGAAATGGGTAATTCAAATGATAATAAAGACGAGTAATACATCTAAATTTTATAAGATCGAATTTTAACAATCTCTTAGGGTCAGGCCATGAAAAATTTATTTATCTTTGGAAAATAGAGATTCAGATTGTTTGAGACTGGAGAAATGTGGAAAACTGTAGTTTTTTTTTTTTGGATGCATTAGGAAACCGTAGTCGAAGAGGCTATAAACAGCACTTGAAGTGGCCCAAACTAGGCAATACAACATCAAGGAGCAGCTTAATATTACAAGTAAAGCAGATGTAGAGTTATATTCAGTAGAAAGTGTGTACGGGTTTGAACATAAATATGACACCACTACAGATAGCATACAACTAGTTATGAAACAGCCACCAGTTCAACGCCTTCCAGACAGCAGGTATATATATATATATAGAGGGAGACATTGGCTCATTTGCAACTCATGTTAGCTAGACATTTTGTAGATCACTTCACATGGATTCATCCTGCATTCAAGAGCCTGAATTTGTTAATCACAGCAATGTAATCAACGGTATGACTTTTTAATGGTAATTAAGAGGTTATTCAAAGATATTCTTGGAGAATCAAAGTAATCGATCACCCGGTAGAAAGGACAGCTCTGTTATGGGATATTAAGATCCAAACCATAATCAAAACAAAGATGTTTTGATGTAAAGGGAACCGCTATGCAGCTGTTGAGACTCGACCCCTAGGTTGCATCTGAGGATGAATATTGTTTTAATCAGACAAACCCAGTTGCTCAAATTTAAGGATGTCGATAGTATTTTATTCAATTAAGAGTGATGGTCGTGCTGAAATGACATAGTCAACCCAAAGCTTCAGTCCCGATAAATCATGAAGTGCAGATAAATTGGTGCTAATCATAAGAAGAAAAAGATTCACCTTCAGTAAACATCTTTTTGTTCTTTCCATAGTTTACATCCCCCCTTATTTGCAGCTCTGAAATTCTGTTTGAGGCTATCATAACTAAGAGAGCATTGAAGGGTAGACAAAGTAGTTACCTCCAATCATGCTTGACTTCCTTCTGGCAGTGTAATCAAGCGTGTAGTTGAATCATACACCATTGCCGTTCCACAACTGAGAAAATCTTATTTTATCAGATAATATCTTGGAAAAAATATAAATCGCCTTAATAGTTCAAAAAACACATGAAAAATGATATCAGGATGTACATGATTGATGTCGATACCCAAAAAACTTACTTTGAGCATTTAACAGTGTTGGTGGAATTGCCACTAGATATTGATAGTATCGTCCCAAAGAAGGAAGTGTTCTCTGTACCACAATTTGGACAGGGGCCCTAAAAAATTCAGAAATATAGGTTAATTACCATACAAATAGCAAAAAATTCACCATTGTTTAATATGAAACTGATTAGAGATGTTAGCGGAGACCTTACCTTTAAGATCAAAAAATCTTTGATAATGAAGTTTGTAATTGAGAAAGATAACCACAATATGAAGGGCAAAGCAGCAAACCACGTGAAAATGAAACTAAAGGGTTCAGGAAGCTGCAATTCAAGGATTCAAAAACATCAGACATAAAAGCCAACACAGCTTAGGCTTTACATATATGGAAGGAGTTGGGTAAAATTGCTGACACAGCAAAAGAAGCAAAGAAATCATAAAATCATAAACAAGTTTTTATCTCTCACAGTCACAATCATTTTGTGTGTGTGTGTGTGACACAGAGAGAGAGAGAGAGAGAGAGTCTAATCACTACAACTTTAGATAAGTTATGGGCCATATGGTCACACATAATGGAATTCCTTNAAACAAGTTTTTATCTCTCACAGTCACAATCATTTTGTGTGTGTGTGTGTGACACACAGAGAGAGAGAGAGAGAGTCTAATCACTACAACTTCAGATAAGTTATGGGCCACATGGTCACACATAATGGAATTCCATGCATTAATTGATACTTCAATGAGTGTGAACTGCAAAATAAAAGTAATTCTATGCGGGGGTCATGTATTAAATACTGAGGACATCTAATGATTATGCAATCTCCATGAAACTGTAAACTGCCTTTAATAAGCTAGAGAATGCCTCGGTCGACAAGCCCAATGATAGCTTGATTATGATAACTAGTTTCTTTTTGATAGGAATTGACCAGGGATAACTGCAACACATTAGCCATATAGATCAATGTGAAAGATGATAACGCAACTCTCTCTCTCTCTCTCTCTCTCTCACATCTATTTTGGCATGCAACCCGGCTCATGTGATCAAAAGAATATACCTGGTAGTCAGTGAGCAATTTCAATTTAATTGCCCATGCCAGGGAAAATTTCATTATTTCTCAAATTTGAGACCATTTTGGAAAGGGCTTGAGGATTTTGAGAATCTGGCAAATTTAAATCATATATTCGTAGCTAACCACTTTACTGCATCATGGAGTTCGATAATAGAACAAGAGAAAGAAGAAGAATAAGTATTTACCTCCAAGAGGTATGTGATTTCAAATCCAGTCAAATCATCCAGGAAGAAGAACCTATCAAAACAAAAGATAAATAGACACGTATCAACCCATTAAGTTAAGCATGCTGTAGAAATAGCTTCACCATCTACAACATGTTTGCAATCCCATGAGGATGAATTTTGACAATTTAATCAACAGGATATTCTCAGAAACATGGTTGCCAAATAAATAGATACCATGAAATGAAAACACTGTAATCTCCATTATCAACAAAAAAAAAAACTGGTCACATTTATCCTTCAGGGTGAAAAGGATTAGTTGGGATGGCAACTACCAAGTTAAGCATTAGGAAACATAAAGAACACCAATCTGATGAGGCAAATATTCCAAATGCGCGCGAGCTTGTCTGTGTGTGGTGGGGGGACGGGGGGAATGGACAGTAAGATATCACAACTGAGGAGGAGAAAGGATGGGGAATAGGGGATGGGCAACTAGATTTTTTCCAACTTATAAATAAAAAGGTGAATGACTAAGAAGTCTTCCAAGAAATGCATGAAAGCCAATTTAAAGTGAGGTGACGGTGAATATAAAAATAAGCATAAAATTAACTCTAAGTACAAAAGAAAATGATTGGCCTTAGATCGGCTGGAACAGGAAGGGCTTGAAACACCTCAATAGATCGAGGTTGAGGATTCAGAATTTGGGAGTATGTTGAGGGGCTAATTTATTTATTGTCAGTGAGCCGTCAACTATCCCTGCTAAAGGATTTCCAAGCTCCATCCTTGATTGGATTGAATTTTTCTTCCTCTTTTCTAATTGTCTCGAATTTGTTCCAATTATCAATGAAAACAGATGAAATCAAATGGTGAAAATCAGTTCTATTTATTTTGCATGAAAGATAAATTCAGCTTGAGGTGCTAACAAAGAGAAAATCAATCATAATATAACTAGGGAAACATAGTGCAGAAAACTAATGCTTATCATTAAATATATTATAAAACAGCAAGAATGACAAAATAGAGTTTCACTCACAATCCCAATGCAACAACAGCAGCGGGAACGTTCAACAGGAACATCTTGAGATAATCTACATACAGGTCACTGTAAACCTACAGGAAGAAACACCAATCAACGAGAGAAATCATATGCCTTTCTTTCCTTTTAAAATAAGGAATGTGAATGCAACTCTGCAGAGTTATGTATTAGTACACCCCCACCAAGCAAGTCCTCAAAGTCTGAGATAAATGTAGATAACTTTAAGAAGTTAATGCTAACCCTACATGAATATACCATCCTTCCTCCACATGAATCTAAATGAAACAGTACTTATGTAAAACCTTGGCTGTTACTTCTAGAAACAACCTACGTAATGGTAACAATTGCTGCTGAGTACTCAGGAAAACAATAAAACTTACTAGGGTCCTAATTGATCATATCCTCTCGCACACTAGGATTTTATTGAATTTTCTGAGAGGGTACTGCAGTTAATCCAAATAAAATCTACCTCAGCATGCAAAGAAAGAAAATATAATCATCCTTTGAATATGCTGCTTTTAATGCATCTGTTTATATCTTTTTGATAGACGCTTAAATTCAAGTGACATGATGTAAGATGCACTAAATGTCCCTAAGGCATGGCTCACATAGGGATGCCTCAGCAGTATGGGGCTGCCATGCATTCATGCGTTATATCAGAACTGNACGCTTAAATTCAAGTGACATGATGTAAGATGCACTAAATGTCCCTAAGGCATGGCCCACATAGGGATGCCTCAGCAGTATGGGGCTGCCATGCATTCATGCGTTATATCAGAACCGCATCTTGGCAATAGGAACGCAAAAGGCACTGTTCTTTTGTAAATTCAACCAGTTTAGAATTTAGAATTGACTAAATGGGTTCCATTGCAACAAAATGATATTGTATCCGTGTGGGTGGTTGAGAGAGTGAGAGAGAGAGAGAGAGAGAGGACTTCTTTTACTGGTTTCGTAAATTTTGAGAAATATATAACCCTAGCACCAGCACCGGACTACCAGTGAAGCTCTTTTAAGCCATTTCTCTAAAATAATTTCCGTGACGAATATCCATAAATAAATAAATGCAGTTGCCTGTATACAAAATTAAATCAGACTAGTTCATAATAAATGAAAATACACTTAGCCTATCAAAAAAAAAATGGATCAAAAGAAAGACTAAAAATAGCACAAACCTTTCTACTACGAAGACTGCATCGTGGACCCTCAACCACAATGTCACTCCCATCCATCTAAAAGACAATTATGGATGAGAAAAATTCACAAGAAGAAGCATTAGAAAGTAGTAGAGAAAGAAGTAGGATTGCATATGTGCTTTAGCTAACTTCCCACAATAAGGAACTAGGTAATAGCAAGACTACACATGATTGAACTATTTTACATATGTCTTAAAGCTTCAAACACAAACTTGTAAATAATAGTTGACATGCACATGCTTGTTTACCACACGCACAAGCCACTCATGGAAAACCTCAAGTATGTGCATATGCATAAAATACAAATGCAAGCAAACCTTAAGTTTTATCTTCAATTTGTCAAATTCTTGATCTGTCATTATANCCACACGCACAAGCCACTCATGGAAAACCTCAAGTATGTGCATATGCATAAAATACCAATGCAAGCAAACCTTAAGTTTTATCTTCAATTTGTCAAATTCTTGATCTGTCATTATAGGTTCCCCAGATACATAAGCCATAGAAGCTTCCAGAAACCTCTGCTCATCAGCACCTGCATCGGAAGAGAATAACATAGTCATAGAACATATAACTCAGAGGTTCAACTAAAGATGGAAAGGTTAATGTCATGAATATATAGGCGGATGTTTCATGGGTAGAATTTAGTATGTACTTAGCATCACAACACTGCTTCCTTCCCACATTAGTTCTTCCTTGAGGTTATCAAATTCCTCATTCGACATGATAGCCTTTCCTTCATAATAGAATGACTGTAGCAGAAAGTACATATATTAATGCATCTTACATTGCAAAGAAAAGGCAAAAACAGATTTATACAGATGAAAGAAATATAGTCATGAAATGAAACTAAAATGCTTTGTCTATGTTTGCAAAGATAATGGGTCAGCAGAATTATGCAAAGTATCAAAGTACAGTCACGGCCAAGCACAAATCCAGACAATATGAAAAATAATATGCTTTAGTACTTGTAATGCTTGAAGAAATTCTTGTTCCATCTCCCCCAATGACTTCTTCCCCTTTTTATCTAGGCTACAATAGGGCAGTATCTTACTGTCAACATCATCTTCTTGGACCTGACCTGAAAGGAAAACTAGGTTTAGGAAGTGTGATGCAGATTGCAAAGAGTGTCCTGCGAAATAAATTCAGAGAAGAAACAAGTCCAGAAATTTGCTAGTGCCAGATGCATTGTTTATTGCTTTAAAACTATGCTTTGATGTTCAAAAATATTTGTATATATAACAATTTCCCAATCACAACCAACATAATGTAACCATAATGGATAAGTATTGCGAAGAAGAGTGGAAACAGGATAGAAACTGACTGACATAAACGAAGGGGTGTAGAGCATTATTTTTCATTTTGTTCTCCGCAAGCTGGCTATGCCTAATATCATTATGCCAATCTCAAAACACGAGGCTACTCTTATAAATGTGCATGATTTGTTACAAATAATGGCTGCCAAAGAGAGATCTCAAGCTCTCTCACAATCTCTCTTTCCTTTTTCTCCTCTGTCTATCTTTCTTCCCCCTTTTAATTTTCTCAAGACAATTTTTTGATTACTCAGCCCAAATACAGTAAACTGTAGCTTATAATGCAAACTTCTTCAATATAAGAAAGCATTTCTCTTTTAAATGTGTTTCTGCCCATCTCACCAGACCACACCCTTTTCCCTGAAATCTAAAAACCGTCCTATTCTCTGCTTAAGTAAGGTGATCAGGATAATACAGCCTTTGAATTAGTTTCGAACTGATAGTGATGCTAAAATAAAACCCTTCTAAGTTATTACAATAAAGACTTCATAGTATTCTTTAGAAAGTGCAAGATTTCAATCTTTACATAGTACATGCCAGTAGTTTCAACAAGGTTGAATTTTAGTCGTAATTAATTCACTCGTATCCAAGACTATACATGTCATCCACAGAGTTCACACTTTAAAAAACCAAGAAAGGTCTAGAAGTTAAACATCAAATCAACAAATAGATAACGAATTAGACATAAAAACCCAACCTGGCTTATCAGTAGTGGCCTTGGGCGAAAGAATTAACACCTTGCGTCGAAAAGAAAACTCCCGGCCGATGAATTGGGTGGACTGAACCTTTGATGAAGAAGATAAAGATGGTGAAGAAGAAGAAGTAGAACATACAGAAAGAGCGGGTCTTCGAAAAGGGGTGGTGAAGAAACGAGGGGTTGTCAGAGTAAACCCAAATTTGGTGGCCATCTGTGGTGGTGGTGGCAATGATGGGAGTGAAGTGAAGGGCAAGATTTGTGAAGGGGGTACATGTTTGTGGAAGAGTTTTGATGGTTTTCGTGGGAGGGTGGGAAAGAAGGGACAGCTCAAAGATAAGGCAAGTGCCCAATGTGTGGAGAGAAATTTTAGTGACCGTTGTCTTGACTCTTAATTTACAAGAGTCGGTTAGTTTTCTTCCTAATTCCACCTGGGATAGCCACGTGCAAAGTGCCAAGTCATCCTCTGTCTGGGTGAAAAATCTATGATCCTCCTAGATATGGTTACACGTTGGATTTTTGTGTGTACCTATTTTCGCATGGTTTGTTTTGATGGGGTCCACGCATGTGGGGCCAGACTAACATTAAATGAAGTGAAAATTTGCATTATATATCGTAAAATGGTTGGTTTAACGGATAGCAACTCAGATTTTTTTTAGGGTAAATTACCCTNATTAAATGAAGTGAAAATTTGCATTATATATCGTAAAATGGTTGGTTTAACGGATAGCAACTCAGATTTTTTTTAGGGTAAATTACCCTCACACCGCTTGACATCTGATTTTATTATACGGATATCTTTCACGTTTCAACAATTACATTGAAACTCCAATAATTAGATAGAGTTAATTATCTTAATAAAAATACTATTTTGCCCATTTTATTTAACATAAACTAAAACTCAAACTTTAAGCTCTATTCCTAATCCTAATATTTGCCTCCTTTGCACAGTAATTCTAGTACATTCTCTCTCTCTCTTTCTCTCTTGACGAAGAACTAACCGAAAATCATCAATCTTTTCTCTCTCCCTCGGTCCATCTCTGTGTGTGAATGTGTATATATATATACATACACACAAACATAAAAAAGGAAACTGGTACTTGAAATCACAATGTTCAACACCATTTCCCACTAGTGTCCATCGCCTACAATCACACACCACCAACACCACAACAAAGTCATCACCGCCAAAACCGAAAAAACTCAACCCACCTCCTCAAGGTATAGCCAAACACATTAAAATCAAAAACTTGTCTCAACCACCCATCACTTTTAGCCACAACCAAACACTTAAAATTTGAATTCTTCATAATAGAAGGGGCCGCTATACTATCCATTAGCCACACACATAGAGACAGAAAATCTCAGGCAGCAAGGGGGGCAGGGGAAGGGTTTGTTTGTAGGTGTTGCAAAGGGGTTTGTTTCTAAGTTGGAGTCACACATGTGGCGGTGTAGTTTAATGGTTTGGTGGTTTGTGTTGTGGATTTCACTGGTGGTGGAGGCGGCAATTGGTGGTGCATGGTGATGGTGTTAATTGTGTATAAATTTGAATTGAATTTAGGGGCTAAATTTAAATTAATGAATGAAATTAACTATAATTGAAAGAATTTAGGAGATAAATAATTACCTTAATTAGTAGATTGGTTTGATTTAATAAAATTTTTTAAGACAAATTTGATTAAGAGATTGTTAATCTCAATATTATAAGGGTAAAAAAGTTTTTTTAATGAAATAGTTAACGTCTGTCATACAAAAGGGGGTGCGGTTGTCATAAGTGTTCACATGTCAAGGGGTTTCAATGTTATTTTTGAAACGTGAGAGGGTGTCCGTATAATAAAACCAAATGTCAGGAGGTGCGAATATAATTTACCTTTTTTTTTTTTAAGATTTGAGTTTGAGTTTGAGTTTTCGTATTTATAATAATTCGATTAGGTTAAACATCATTATCCAAAGAGCAATGTTATTGAGACTTAAAAATCTGACTTAATTTTGCTGACTTAATTCACTGTGACATTTGGATTGGCTATAGCCTATAGACCCCATCAAACATTGGAACTTGATGTTGATCTAATGATTTATATTAAGCCAAATCATTATATAAACAAATTAGATTAAATTTTTAGATTCAAATAGTATTACCCTTTTCCAAAATAGGTGGTTGGGTTTCAACGCAGGTGCAATAGCTTTTTCCTTAGATAATTATGTGATATTAAAAAATAATATTTCTTGACAAATATGTGGAGTAATATTTTTACATATTAATTTTAAACACTAAAAAAAATAAAAATTACGGTATATGAAATGTACTCCCTCCGTTCCTAAATATTTGTCGTTTAAGGTTTTTGTACAGGGTTTAAGAAAACTATTAAATATAGTTCTAATATGAGTAAAAAATAATTACACAAAACTAAAATACTCTTATTCAATAGGTATTGGGAAGAAAAATAATATGAAAGACACTTAATCTCCACCTAATCTAATGCATTAAAAAATTAAGGGTAAATTTAGAAAAAAAAATATTAATTATGTTTTGGTTTCATTAAACGACATATATTATGGAACAAAAAAAATTATGTAAAACGACAGATATTTAGGAACGGAGAGAGTATTTTCCAAGATAATGCTTTGTTTTTTTTTTTTTTAATGATACCAAGTTACTTTGGTTGATGATTAAATTGCATCTTAATTGTGAAGTTATAAATAATTGAGGTTACCCGTAATAATGTTGTGATCAATTATGAATAACATTAATCCATTGTAACTTCACTTTTAAAAAGTATAATTTAACATTTAAAATGTGTAAGTTACATTTTAAAGTTCTAAATTTTTTTGATTGATATTCCAAGTTACTGCAANTTTAACATTTAAAATGTGTAAGTTACATTTTAAAGTTCTAAATTTTTTTGATTGATCATGTCCTTTGATATTCCAAGTTACTGCTANTTGATGTTGATCTAATGATTTATATTAAGCCAAATCATTATATAAACAAATTAGATCAAATTTTTAGATTCAAATAGTATTACTCTTTTCCAAAATAGGTGGTTGGGGTTTCAACGTAGGTGCAATAGCTTTTTCCTTAGATAATTATGTGATATTAAAAAATAATATTTCTTGACAAATATGTGGAGTAATATTTTTACATATTAATTTTAAACACTAAAAAAAATAAAAATTACGGTATATGAAATGTACTCCCTCCGTTCCTAAATATTTGTCGTTTAAGGTTTTTGTACAGGGTTTAAGAAAACTATTAAATATAGTTCTAATATGAGTAAAAAATAATTACACAAAACTAAAATACTCTTATTCAATAGGTATTGGGAAGAAAAATAATATGAAAGACACTTAATCTCCACCTAATCTAATGCATTAAAAAATTAAGGGTAAATTTAGAAAAAAAAATATTAATTATGTTTTGGTTTCATTAAACGACATATATTATGGAACAAAAAAAATTATGTAAAACGACAGATATTTAGGAACGGAGAGAGTATTTTCCAAGATAATGCTTTGTTTTTTTTTTTTTTAATGATACCAAGTTACTTTGGTTGATGATTAAATTGCATCTTAATTGTGAAGTTATAAATAATTGAGGTTACTCGTAATAATGTTGTGATCAATTATGAATAACATTAATCCATTGTAACTTCACTTTTAAAAAGTATAATTTAACATTTAAAATGTGTAAGTTACATTTTAAAGTTCTAAATTTTTTTGATTGATCATGTCCTTTGATATTCCAAGTTACTGCTAAAAAAAAAAAGGTTATTATTTGACCTTAAAATATAATAATTTTAATAAAGTATTTTATTGGGTGGCGTAATAGTTCTCATTTTTTAGTATCGTAAAAAAATAATAATTTAATTATCTTGGGTCAAGTCACAAGGGAGTTATCTCCCATGAATATGTTAGTTTCGACGTGGATGACCTGTTTTCGATTGGATCGGAGAGAGAATTAATCGAATTGTGCGTAAGTTAACTTAAAAACCCTGACCATTGAACCCAAAAAAAAAAATTCTAACTTTTCTCCACCTTGGTGGAAAATCCAATCTGGTTTTGCAAGGTAGAAGTCTCAGTGACACGAGGGAAAAAAATATACCCAAACTAGTCTTTTTCTTGTGTTCCAAACATCAGTTTTCTTTGTAGCACTGCTTGATCTGCATCTTACGCCAGGAAAGTCATCCTGAAACAATCCCATTCACAGGAATTTTGCAAATTCATCAGTTCCTTGGCTGAAGCTATGGCTGATAGGTTCCATACATTTCTTTCTTATCTTATTGGGTACAAATAATCAACGTCAACAACGTGTTACAACATGCATATGTGACATGGATAGTTCTTTCACTAAAGCTCAACCTGTGAAAGCAAAGCCTTATTGGAAAAGAAAGCTTCTAAGTTGCCGATAATTACTTCTTGCAATGCTACAAAGGATTCTGGAGTTGCAACAGCTTTATGTGGAGATAAAACAACATTATCCATTGCAAAGAGCTCTTCTGGAACATTAGGTTCATTCTCATACACATCAAGGCCTGCACCTCCGCTTTCACCTCGCACCAAAAACTGTACCAATTCTTTCTCATCGACAAGAGTCCCTAGACCAACATTAACGATGACTCCTTTCTTTCCCAGAGCTTCCATGACATCCTTGTTAATTATGTGGTGGGTTTCACTTGTCAATGCGCAACAAACAATTAGAACATCACTGTTAGTTGCAAGGTCATGAACATCTTCGTAACAACGATATGAAACATGTGGCTTTTTCCTCCTCGAGTTGTAGGCTATGATGCAGCCAAATGCCTCGAGCCTTTTGGCCATCCTTATGCCAATGCTGCCCAGGCCCACAATCCCTACTCACCTGCAATTGTCCCAGTACAGAAGTGGTATCAATCATCCAGCCGAATACTCAATTTAACGATATGATACAGCATGTGGCATCATTTAGGCATATAAGCAAAAGTACTATTAAACAAAATGAAAACTTATTTACTTCCACTTACTGTCATTCCTGGTCCCCAAACTTATCACGTAGAATTTAATATAAAAAAAAAAGTACAGTAAAGAAGGCTTACATGCCGAATAGTCCAAACTCTCCTACAATTTTTGAAACCCTCTATAGACTTATCACTTATTTCTTAACCCTTTAGCACCACGAGAATCCGGGCCTGATGTTGTTCATATTGATACTATACTTCCAAAGACATAAAATTAGCAAACTTTTATATATTATAATTTTATACATATTAAAATTTGAACCAATTATTATTTATTTTTTTACATATTAAAATTTGACATGATTAAAATTTATTTTTATACATATTAAAATTTGAACTGATTAAAATTCGACTCATCATGATTAAATTTTATTTTTTTTTACATATTAAAATTCAAGCCTATTAAAATTTCTTTTTTATGTTTTAAAATTTGCGCCGATTTAAGTTCAACCTAGACTGTTAGTGCCGATTAAAATTTGATTCAATTCAATTTGATTAAAATTTATATTTTTTTACGTATTAAAATTGATACCAATTAATATTCGATTCAAGTATATTAAAATTTATTTTTTACTTATTAAAATTTATATTTTTTTATGTACCAAAATTCGGGTCAATTAAAATTTTATTTGAGAGTATTAAGATTTGAGTCAAGAGCCTTTTATCGGGTCTAATCGAATTTTAATTGACCTGAATTTTAATACGCAACTCATTGAAGATATGCTTATGTAGAAAGCATGTGGATGAAGTTTTTCCTAAAATATATCACGGATAATTTAATAAACTTCTATTTTAGTTAAGACTTTTAATTTGACATGAGGTGTCAATGAAGATTCAAAAAATAAAAAAAAAATGTTTATAAAGATATGATAAATTAAAAAAATTATGATTAAAATTTTCCTTATATTTATTACACCTACCATCGTTATTCCACCGCTGCCACGGCCATTCGTCACCCACCACCATCTCCGATAATGAATTAAAAACAGTGAATTACACAACATGGCTAAAAACACTCGATTTGTATGCTTTGTACTCACTTTGTATGACCGGACAAAAGGTCCACACTCCACAGCTAGTGGGTTGGTCCAAAAGCCTGACAGTCCATCAAGTCATGGGCCTACACAACTCANCTAAAAACACTCGATTTGTATGCTTTGTACTCACTTTGTATGACCGGACAAAAGGTGCACACTCCACAGCTAGTGGGTTGGTCCAAAAGCCTGACAGTCCATCAGGTCATGGGCCTACACAACTTAATATGTAGAAAGCCTAGGCCCATGAGGACCAGTCCGATGAGCAGACCGAGTGTGGTGGAGGAGGCAGTATGTGGTATCATTGCAGAGAATGAGGTGAGGCAAGGAGCAATGTGATATTGCCACGGCTGCAAGATTTTTTCAAATAATAATCATGTTTGAAAAACTTTAAGATTTGTGGTGCCCTTTTATTCAAGCTCTTTAATCAAATGACATAACATTAAAATTAAAAAAAAAATTATATTTTGTTAGAAAGTTCGTACCCATAACAAGATCCGTGAGCGATAAATAAGAGGTAACTTAACCTCTAATTTAAACAGATTACTTTATAAACTCGAACCTTCAATGTATCTTTTAGACAGGTAAATACCATTGATATCATTCTAAATTCAACATTAAATGACACCACATTAGCAAAGAATGGGATATTACAAATGATCCAACCCGAAATAAAGAGTAATGTTATTGAAATTTAATTTACTATGACATTTGAATTAATTGTGGATCCAATCAAATATTAAAAATTAGTATTCATTCAATGATTTTGATGAAATCACATCATTAAGTCAAATTTTTAAGACTAAACAACATTACTCAGGAATAAAAACATCCAATTTTTCAAGCTAACATACAGAATACTTCACACTCTCACTCAAAGTTGCATTGTGTACAAAAGGGGAAAATAAGAGGAGAAAAAAATGATTTAAATCAAAGACTAGGTTGCTAAGTCTGTAAGTTTTTGTTGCAGCTCACTTGGATTGATGCTCTTCTCCTCCTCTACCTGCTTGTCAAAACACGAATGAGTGATTGATTGACGTTGGTGCATAGGCTGAAAATAACAGAACAATCACATTACTTACCTCCGATTCAATAGTGTGAATCAATCTTTCATTTACTTTAGTTGAAATGCATGAAACAGTGGTCAGCCCTTCTTCCATTAGGACACTGAGTACCCTTGAAAGAGGCAACCCTCCTCTCATGGCAGTGTTCACAACAGCCTCCATTCCTGCCCTACAAGTGTTTACTGTCACGCAGTCTCGCCGACAAACTTGTGATCCTTCACAAGTAATTTTGGGAGTGTTTGGATTCAACTCCTCTTTTAATTCATCTCTCTTTTGATTCAGCTCTTCTATCCTCTTCTGTCTATGCTTTATATAGCTTACAGCCGCATTCATATGATCAGATACAGACCTCTTTCCCTGTAGTCATAAAAGACTTATTCAAATCTTTGTTAAACCACCTTCTCATCTAGAAGTTAGCTGTTAAAGGCTGTGTAACTTAAAAAAGACTTACATACTTCAACGTGCCCCTTCACATCTCGACTAGATTTTGGGCTATACACGTAGAATCTTCCGCTCTAAAAGCTAAAGTATATATACTCAAACAATTTACACGTGCTTGATCTAAATCTAGCCCAATGTGAGGCGGCATGTTGAAGTTTATAAATACGGACGTAACATCCCTAAAGGGGAAATGCCAGATAGAAAACTGTGTGTAATGGAGAAGGATTTGAAGAAAGTTTGATACAGAAAAACTGACCTCGAGATATACCGGAGGGATTAATGATCCTAGTGCCCGGTAATGGCCAGTCATTTCTTTCCTTCTCTGTCTTTCGATGTCTCTATGTTTGATCTTCTTCTTCTGCATATGGTCATTGAATTCATCATCTATATCATCAACAGTGTCGAATGACTTTCGCCTTCTGGTATAATCTGGCTTTTTGGTGAGATCAGAATTTTGCAGTGAAGAAGCATTCAGAAATTTATCTTGTTTGATTGTATTTTTTGGTGGAAGAATAGAAGCATTCAGGAACAGCTCAAGCTCATCCATCTGTTCAAATGGAAACATTGAAGAAACATAGTCCATCGTATAAGCTTAAACCTCTCCTTTGCTCTCTTTCTTCTAGAGAAAAGTAGAAATGTTCAGTAGAGCATGAGACCTTTAACGGAAAAATTTTGGGAAAATGGTATGAGGGGTAAGCTTATTATTGAAACTTGTTCCGAGGCACTATAGTTTTGGAGGCTGAAATAAAACTCATGACATCCACATGTAGAGAACTGTCATCTGTATGCTGAGATGGACATGGGCTCCTCATAGGTTGGTCCCAAAATCCATAGGTTCAAATATTTAAGATTATTATACACCATCATTATCCAAAAATAATGCTTTAAGTCGTATGTGATCAGTACTTTGTCTGTACAGTGATTGTTGATTTTAGATTATCAGGTGGTCAAAATTTGTCAAATGAAAATCACAAATACAATCATGTAGCAGAATTTTCTTGGTATGGAGGATTGTCGTTTATCTAGTCTCTTGAATTGTGTTAGAATTTTTGAGAGAATGCTCGTATGCCCCCTGCAATTTCAACCCTTTTATATGGACGTGTTTGAGTTTCATTGTAATATCTCATTTTTCGAACAGATAAGCTATTTACCTTTTGGAAAAAGAAAATGTCGTACAGTGAAATTTACTTACTTGCCATAAATTTATTTGATGCAGAATGAGGTAGACATAGAGCAGAAGAAAAAAAAAATTTGATACAGAAATAAAAGAACTGAGGATAGAGAGGATCTTTATGAGAAATGGCTCTGAAACAGCTTTTTTTTTTCTTTAAGCAGCTTTCCACAAATAGGAGAATGTGATAAGTATGTTCTGCCAAAAAACGAGACAAATTGCTATTTTTTATTGCTTTCTTGCTATAAAAATAGACGTTCATACTGCTAAATTATTGACCAACATTGATCATTTTGATGAATAAGTGAGATTGTGACAATTTGATCACGAAGGTACGGGACCCAGGATCTATAATCATTGAAGGTTAACCTTGTGGCATTTTTCTACTTAAATTGGTCATGTTTGACAAATTCAATGACTCAATAGCTCACCTGAACAGGATAATAAAAAAAATTGTTTCCTTGTTTTGTCCTTTAATTATATTTATTGGTCAGTAGGACAATTCATATGTAGAAGAGAAATGGCAGAATCCACCTTAACCAATTCAAGGATCATAACACTTTACTGCAAACCATAGTTCAGAATCTGCAGATCACTAAGGAAAGAATGCCTCTCTGACAGTGAAATATTGTGATCTGAACTCTCCACTGGTCCAGTCATGGCTGCTTGCTTTCCAGTGGCTGCATTGCCTATCTCTTGCTGGAAGGGCTACAGATTTTAGTTCATATCTCCTGTTTATTTGTCCTTTGTAAGTTCCTCGCCTAATCGATGCAATTATAACCTAATAAACCAGTCCCTGCCCCGAAAGAACTTCAAATTCTCTTCTCCCTTTCGCCCTCTCCATCATCCACACATGACATAACCTCCTTTGTGGCAAGGTGGTCAGTAATCCAAATCCATTTTATTGACAATCTTCCAAATAAAGGTAGACAAACAGTTAGATGCATTAGCCATGCAATACTAATGGAATTTGTGCAACGCCACCATACGTGGCGAATCATAAATTAAAATCTCTGTGTGAGTATTCTTATGGCAACCAAAGTGTCGANTGTGGCAAGGTGGTCAGTAATCCAAATCCATTTTATTGACAATCTTCCAAATAAAGATAGGCAAACAGTTAGATGCATTAGCCATGCAATACTAATGGAATTTGTGCAACGCCACCATATGTGGAGAATCATAAATTAAAATCTCTGTGTGAGTATTCTTATGGCAACCAAAGTGTCGATAAATTAAGCTGAACTTCTGAAAAACTTGACATGATTGCACACAAATGAGCTTATTACCACACTGTAAAACAAATAGCAGGATTAGGGATAATATCTTAAACTTAAAGAGTTAGGTTGAATGCACATCTCTCTACCATGTCATCTTGGCCACCCAAACACTGTAGGACCAGTCCAGGAAGGACAGGTGACTTCATGCTTAGGCCAAGTGAGTTATACGCCCCCGCCTGTTGTGAAATAAATATTAAGAAACATAATCATTTCATATCACTGGTTCTTAAAAAATTGATTACTAACAGACAGAAGTTGCAATTTCTGTAAGAATAAGAATTAAATCAATTACAAGAGATCTGCTATCTTTTAGCCTTGGTTGAATATTTATTCTTGAAAAAGACATTGAAATAAATGTAAGTTGGGATTCTTTATTTGCTTAAAGACTTACGAAAGTTAAACAAATAAGAAAAATACAAAAAATAACTGAAATAGTATGACGGTAGTTGATCCAACCATCTTTGGCTTCTATTTCCGACATTGAGAAAATGAGCTTTTTTCTAACCTACAGCAGATTGAAAGTTGATTATGCGATAATTTAAACATGTCATTTTAATCATTTGTCACACTCACATCGGTTGAATTGGCAGCACTGCACCAATTTATTAAATTGAAAAAATGAAAAAAAAAACATATTCAAACTCGACGTGATTTATCAGGTAGAAAGTTAAAAGAAACAGTAAAGCTTATACTATGGTGCTCAATCTGTTTGCCTCCATGTCCAAAGTTGTAGCATGTAGATATACTATTTTTTATTTTTGTTTAACTAAAGATATACACTTACAGGAAGGCAAGTACAGCCATTCTACAATTACTAATTAAACATAATTGTCAACATCAGCTTGGCTGATTCTTATAACCTTTTGATTTCAATCTACCTAACAAAAAAGATAAATCTTTTAAAGAATTGTTAAATTTGAATATAATTCTTGCAGAACTTAAATATCGAATAAGTCCCGGTTCTTCATGAAACGTGTTGCTGGCACAAGAGGAGCCAATACCTTCATATGTTTTTTTGTTTCTTCTGTTCTTAGTCCACTTTCTACTTGTTGCTTCTTTCTTCTGTGAAAAGACTGATCAATTACTGTCAAAGAGAAAGCATGCTTATGTTTAAAAGTTTCAAGACAAAACATTCATTCTGCACTGCAATGAGATGAAAAGGTTGAAGTACTTGGGACAGTTTGGTTTTACCTGTTCTTTTTAACATTGTTTCAAAAGCTCTTTGCAATTTTTCAAATTTGATAGTGAAATTTTTACCTTCACGCTTGAACAGTAGAAGCATGTAGGCTTTCAAACCAAACCACGTAAATTATTTTTTATTTGTACTCTCTTATTTCGTCGTTTGTGGATTCTGTTTTAACTTTTTTTAACCGTAGCGTGTTTACAATGCGAATGAACAATTGCCACATGAATAGTGATATAGTGTAGTGGAGATTAAACAACAGAAACTATAATCTGTTGATTATACCAATAATACCAGATTAAAACTTTCAAGAACCTTGTTGATTCGCGAAAAAAACCGAGTTAGTTGAGAAGAAAAGAGAATCCGTCTCTACGTTTATTCAAAACCAAACAAAAACTGCTGAATCAGTATAAATATGAAACTATAATGATCCTAAATTACTAGAAAAATCAAGCAAATAATCAATATTTTAAATATACCCCAAAAAAGGAGATAAAATATAAAAGTGTCCAAAAAGTGTCATAAACATCTTTTTTACCTTAAAAACAACGGATTGAAACTTCGGTCTTGTTCGGATCAGCAAGAACTTTTTGAAATGGGGTCGTCTAAAATTTTTTAACACTGTCGTCCAAAATCAGTCCTGATTGACACTTAATCAACACTGTTTTTAACAGTCTTATTCTGTCATGTAGTCTTCTACTACTATACATGCTGCATCAATTAGGGTAAGTATCAGCTAATGTTGCCTTTGACAGTCATGCTTTAGGAGTCTAGCAAATGATGATATCAATTTCTCAGTGAAGATTCAGAAAATAATTTTGAGCAAGAAGCAAGAAATGATCATGTCCCACCTTGTGGAACAGTGGAAGCCTATTTTCAATTAAAAAAAAAATGTTAATTTTTGGACATTAGTTTATATTTTAGTCGTACACTGTCAAGTGTTTGATTGCTGAATTAACATAATTGCACCACTAGGCAAAACCTAGCTTTTTCTTGTAGCGTGTGAGCATTCAGAAAAACAACAGAAAGTGGCGGGTGGGTCACAGAACAAGAACATGGCACCATGTCAGCATAAAAAAACAGGGTAATTGTATATATCCGCCTTAATCCATTCAAGCGTTATGTTAGAGAAGGCAACAACATAGACTCCATGAGAGAAAAGAGAGAAATTCTATGTTTTGGAACCTCTAATACAATTAAATTTAAATTAAATTGGATTTGGGTTTGGATCTGGGTTTGGGTTTGAATTTGGTATAAACCGGAAAAATGGGAAACAAAAACAAATCGGGTTTAGAACGAAATTGGTAAGTTTTTGACCAACCCCGGTTTATTGCCACTTGCCAGCTCTTCTTCCCCTGCCCAATGCGAATACGTTACCGATGAATATTATCTGTAACCCTAACCCTAACCCTGACCCTATCACTTTGCTTATCCCTGTCCATNGGAAACAAAAACAAATCGGGTTTAGAACGAAATTGGTAAGTTTTTGACCAACCCCGGTTTATTGCCACTTGCCAGCTCTTCTTCCCCTGCCCATTGCGAATACGTTACCGATGAATATTATCTGTAACCCTAACCCTAACCCTAACCTTATCACTTTGCTTATCCATGTCCGTGTCCTGAGTCCTGAGTCCTGACCTATTTCTTCTGAACTTGATTTTTCAGATTAAAATTTTCTCGTCAAAGATTAGATTTTTACAAACGGCAAAAACCCTAGCTTATATAAACCATACAGTATAGCTGCTAAGNTTTTTCAGATTAAAATTTTCTCGTCAAAGATTAGATTTTTACAAACGGCAAAAACCGTAGCTTATATAAACCATACAGTATTGCTGCTACGNTTTCTTCTGAACTTGATTTTTCAGATTAAAATTTTCTCGTCAAAGATTAGATTTTTACAAACGGCAAAAACCCTAGCTTATATAAACCATACAGTATAGCTGCTAAGAACATGCAATAATGGAAAACGGTGGTGGAGTAAATCAAAACAACAAGATCAGTGCGGACGATGTAATTTCGAAGCTCAAGGACGACGGCGATTTCGATCGGCTCCGTCTCAAGATCATCCGCAAGCTCAAAGAAAACGTTAGTTTGCCCTCTTCCCCAAACCATTCTCAACAATTCTCTCTCTCTCTCTCTCTCTTATGTCAGAAATAGTGTAGTCATTGACGTAAATCGACTCCGAATCTATGATCCGCTGTTTGTTGAATGTGGAAATTACTGCAGGAGGAGATAAGGAATAGCATTGTATCAATGGTGAAGCAATCAGCGGCACTTAATCGTCCAGGATCTGAAACTATGAAGCCCCGGCAACTTTCTGATGCCATACATGAAGAAGTTAGGTTGGTTGTTTTTTGACTTTTGAGTTTTCATTGGTTTTACTTGGTGTTCTTTTAAGAATTTTTATTTGAGTGGGTAATTTGTTTGTAATTGTGGATTATGAATATAGGCTTGCTTAACAGAATCACAATTAGGGGCTTGGATGTTGGAATATTTGAATTCTGAAATAGCGGAGAATTTGAGATCATTCGGACCTATCTTTGTAGACAATCAGTTGCATGCAATTGCAAACTTCCACATCAATTACTGGGTATAGTTTAAGAAAGCAAATTTTGAGTTCATTGCACACTTTCAAACCTATGGGTAATGGGGAAGAGAAGAGATGATAAACTTAATTTTTTTGTCGTCCATGGAGTGGCTAGCTTACTTATCAAAAAGAGGAAACAAAAGAAATGCAGTGATCTACACAATCATGCACACAGTACCAAATTTTGGCAATAATTGCTGGAAATTATTTGGGAATGCCAGCTTTTAAATTTGTTACAATTTCACACACGTTGGTTATATCCAATAGAGTGAAGATGAACTTCTAAAAAGGTAGTTTCTGTGGTTTGATTTGCTTATTGAGGATAGGAAAGATGACAATTGGAGAGATCAAAATAAAAAAGTGAGGTGCTTTGGTGTGAATTTGATACATGTAAGCACTTGCTTTTTTTCTATTTTATATCCCTGACAAGTAGCTAAAAAATAAGCGACGATAATGGGGAAGAGAAGAGAAGAGACGATAAACTTAATTTTTTTGTTGCCCATGGAGTGGCTAGTTTACTTATCAAAAAGAGGAAACAAAAGAAATGCAGTGATCTACACAATCATGCACACAGTACCGAATTTTGGCAATAATTGCTGGAAATTATTTGGGAATGCCAGCTTTTAAATTTGTTACACTTTCACACACATTGGTTATATGCAATAGAGTGAAGATGAACTTCTAAAAAAGTAGTTTCTGTGGTTTGATTTGCTTATTGAGGATAGGAAAGATGACAATTGGAGAGATCAAAATAAAAAAGTGAGGTGCTTTGGTGTGAATTAGATACATGTAAGCACTTGCTTTTTTTCTATTTTATATCCCTGACAAGTAGCTAAAAAATAAAGCATCCAAAAGGTAAGTGCGAGCCTCCTTCTTTCCCCTCCCTTCTTAGCTCTCTGCTTTTTCTCCACGACCTAATTTGTGAATATTTTGAGCATAAAGGCAGTTAGGTTGGTTGCTATGATTACTTTATAGTGATACAAGCACATGACTTTGTTATTGCAATTTATTCAAAAATACCAAAACTTACCATCTCTTAATTTTTGATACTAGTTTTATTGTATATTTGAATTCTAGGGACAAAGTAATGAGCCAAATTTCTGATGGTGTGTGGGATATAATCAGATCGGCTGATGGCATGAAAAGTGAAATTACAGAAACAGTACATTCAGTTTACAGTAAGTTATTAAATCCGAAAATAAATGAAGATGGTGGATCATCATCTCACAATGACATGATGCCGGTTCAAAAGGGCCTTCACACTAATCAATTTGTCACGGCTTCGACCAGTGGAATTGATGGTACCTTGTCTGATAGTGAGCCGAAAGAGCCACCAGGTTTCTCTGAAGGTGATCGTTTTCAGAACAACAACCAGCATGAGGAGCAACCAAAAGCGGAGATGTGGCTACCTATACAGGATGGGATGCCAGCAGAGGAACAGAAGGAAGAGCATTGCCCATCACAAGATGTGTTGGAGCCTGATGGTATTGATCTCGGTGCACCACCTGGATTTTCTGCAGTCATGGAGCTCAAAAAGCCATGTGATGGTAGTGACGAAGACCCCGATGTGCCTCCAGGATTTGGTTAATGATTCATCATGCAGGTTGATTTTAATTGGTATAGAACAATCATTCCATTTGATAAACTGCATGGGGAAGATTTAGCCAGGGTACTCCTAGATCATTCCTTGTCAATCATAAAAGCACATCAGCACCTCGGCAGTTGGTGAAGGATGGTTGTACCATCCTCAGTCTAAGGTCAGAAGTGTTAAATATTACAGATATATTTCACATACCATGAGATCATCTTGGTATACAAAGTTTTAGTAACAAAATCAGAGCTTTTTCGGATGTGAGATTCATGAAATGCTATAAGAGATTTGGTTTATATTTACCTTCACTTTTTTCAGGTTGATGTGATTATTAGTTCCTTTATGACTAATTTAAGACATGGAAACCTAGTTTCTTTAGCAGTTTTTTCTCGGAAGAATTGTTGTTGAAACCTAATTTAAGACATGNTACGCCGAGTGTGCTTCAGAAATACAACTGAAAGTGCACATATGGCCGGCTGGAAATGTTTAAGCTGTGCAATATGCTCTTAAGGCGGCGGCTGTTGGCTATATGCTTGCGAACATGTGTAGAGAATGATTTATTGCTTACTCTTGCTAGTTTTTTTTTTGCTTTGCAGTAAATTGGCAGTGATGACCATAGCAGAGCAAACATCAAACGAAACAAGCAGGTGCTTGTTGAGCTACTTGTCTTACATGTGCTTGGAGACAACGAAAGCTTCAGAGACGAGGATCAAAAGGTTACTTGCTGCGCCAAAACAACAGGTTAGATCACGCAAACTCAACTGAGCTACAATTAAGGGTGGCAATATCCAACATGTCATGTTAATGTTGTTAACATGAAATTAATGGATAAGGGCTGACTAGTTCTTGAAGAATCTGAATAGAACATGACATGTTAACACGAACAAGAAACGAGTTGTGTTTGTTTGATACATGAATATATAACTCAATTTTGGCATGATAAACCTATTTAATTGAGATTATATGTACTTATGCAGAATTAAAGGATTTTTTTAGCATAAAGATCAAGTAAAATTTTAATTTTTAAGGTGCCTGTGGATGCTGGTTTCGTTGAGAGAAAGCAATCTTATTTTGGTTCTTGGGCTATCTTTGTTAATTTGAACATGACATGATTAATAGACATGTTGGGTTAGACTCACAACATGTGAACGTGTAATTAATTAGGATTGGTTAATACTCCACAGTCGACACAAATTCGAACACGAAATGACACTGCTCAATTGTCACCCTAGCTACAAACGATATGACTTGGNGGGTTAGACTCACAACATGTGAACGTGTAATTAATTAGGATTGGTTAATACTCCACTGTCGACACAAATTCGAACACGAAATGACACTGCTCAATTGTCACCCTAGCTACAAACGATATGACTTGGTCCAACGACGTCAATTTGAAATACTATTTTGAGTTATTAATTTCCTAATTGCTTTTCTTGGTATCAGAAAATCATTTCAATCCCATGTAGTGGGAACCAAGGTTGCAACACACAATAATCCGCTTATTAAGTGGATTGGTTAAATTCGGATTTAACCAANCAAGGTTGCAACACACAATAATCCGCTTATTAAGTGGATTGGTTAAATTCGGATTTTATGCAGCAGCGAGGTCTTGTACAAGGATGTCGAATTCACGTCTTAGTGCTGTTCTAAATCCATCGTAAATTAGTAATACCAAGCTCCAACTAGGGAGTAGGGATCAATCTATTTTTGCTAGTGGTGTAATAAGCTTTTTATATGTAAAAGTAAAATTGTGTACATTTGACCCTTTTTGGATTCTGTAAGATAGTTTGTATCGTACACTTAGATTGTTTTTTTTGTAATGGTAGATTGAAGTCTAAGTATATAGTAAATTAAACTCTTTAAAGCTGTCAAAACCCTTTTAGGGTGTCAATCAAGTTTTATGGTGTCTTACCCAGGTGTAGCATAAAATATACTTCTAAGTAATTGTTCCGTTATTAAGCCATTCTAATTTGACCTATTCAATTAGTTTTGTCATATGTTTGGACATTAACTTGATCTAGTTATTACTCATGTTGGATTCGGGTCAATATGATAAATGGTGAATTAAAAATCCAAAATTAGCATTTTTTTTCATCTACTAAATCAACTACTCAGGCATTCTATACACAAATTCACTCAGGTCTAGACGTTTACAAAATCATCTAACAAATCCTTTAATCCTCCGACGACTGAGAAAGGTTCCTCATACTAAACCAAACAAATGGGTTATGACATTTTCACGGGCAGTTCCATCGACTTGCCTTCTTAACGACTTGCCTACCGCCAACCAGTGGGGAAGGTAGCCAGGAGCTACAAGAGGAGATGCTAAACGTGCCAACTCAATCAAACCGACTTGCGATCTCCTTATTTGATCTGTGAGATAATGTCTCTAATTGACTCTCGGGTCTAACTCTCTTTCTTTCGGGAAGGGCGTATGCACTTTTCGTATAGTTGGTTTAGGTCAGAGAATCAATATTTCATTCCGTTCTATTTCCGCTAGCTCTAAAGGTAAAGTGCAGTTGATTGAAAAACTAGTCGGCTTTTAAGAGACTAGTCCAGCTTTTAAGTCTCCTTCGGACCCTTGCTTTTTCTCTCGTTAGGCATACGGGAGGCCAGGCGTACGATAGACAATCTTTCTTTCTGGCTGGGTGGCAAAGAAAGACAACTATTTCATTCCGAGCCTTCCACTTCTGACCCACCTCTCGTATCGCGTACCTATCAACTCTAATTTGAACCCTCGTGTTGTCTTTGTGCCAATAATTGTCATTTACCGCTTACCTTTGTTTTTCTTAGATAGAGAAACGAACTCGATGTGGTTGGCCCCGTTTACTCTTTTAGTTTTTATATTTTTTTTTGGGTGTCATTATTATAAGCCTCTTAAGTAATTTTCATACAAAAAAATTATGTCTCATTTAAGGCTGTGTGCGAGCCTTCAAGAGTTTTCGAGATACCATATTTAATAACTAGTTATTGTCCGTGCCTGAAGGCGCGGAGTAATAAAAAAAATAGTCAACAATAAACATAATTGTATTCACACGCAAAATTAAATCACAAACATAAATGAGAGAGAAAATAATTTAAGTGTTGGTTGTCGTGGTGGATGAAAATGGTGGTGGTGAGAAACGATGATGGTTGTGGAGGGTGGCAACAGTGATGGTTGTGGTAGCCATGGGTGATGACGGTTGTGGTGGTGGGCAACGATGACGGTGGTTGACAGTCGTAGTGGTGGAGCGACAACGGTAGTGATGGGCGGTGACGATGGTGGTGACGGGCAAGGACGGGTGCTTCTGAGGGACAGTGTGATGAATGGTGACAAATGACGGTGAAGGTAGTGATGGCAAGTGTGGTGGGGATGAGAGACAGTAGGTGGTGGCAATGATGGGCAATGACGGATGGTGGTAGGTGTGGTGGGGGTGAGTGATAGTGGCTGACGTCGATGGTGGGCGACGATGGGTGGCGGTGGGTTATGGTAGAGGGTGCAGATGGTGGATGACGATGATGGTGGTAGTGGTAATAAATATAAGAATGAGATGACGATGATAGCAGGTGATAACGGTGGACGACGATGGTAGTAATCGGTGGTAGGTAACGATGGTTGTGGTAGGGGTGACGAATGGGCGATGGGATAGTGAGGGTGATGGTGGGATAGTGGCAATGGCAGGTGGGGTGGTAGGGGTGATGGTGGTGGTGGGGCGATAGGGGTGGGGGTGGGAGTAGTTGTGGTGGTGGTGATGGTGGGTTGATGGCAGTGGTGGTGGTGGGATGGTGGTGCTGGTTGTTGTGGCAAAGGTGATGGTGGTGGTAGTGGTGGGGACGGTGGGAGTGGTAGTGGTGGTGGTAGGGTAGTTTTAAACACTATTTTTTTTAAAGTACTTATAAGAAGTTATAAGTTCTAGAAACATTTTTTAAAAGTCACTTTAAATACACTATTAAGGGTTTATTTTTTCTATTAAATTTGAGGTGTTAATATTAGCTGCCGGATTAACTTTAAAGTTAAATTTAAAGAGATCTCAACTACGAAATGCAAAAATTATTTTGTTTATCTTTTAAAATTTGATTTGTAATGTATTTTATTATATAAACTAGTTATTTTTCGTGCTTGAAGACATGACATAATAAAAAAAATGGTTAACATATTTGTTGTCACACCCAAAATTAAATCACAAATATAGAGGAGAGATAAAATTTTTTTAGCACCAATTGTAGTGGGGGTGAGCAGTGATAGTGGTGGTGGACGACAATGGTGATGGTGGGAGGCGGTGATGGTCGTGGCAGGTAAGGCGACGACTATGGTGGTGGTAGCAGTCGTGCATGGCAATGTTGATTATGGTGGTGGATTTTGAGTGACGACGATGGTAGTGACAGGCGTGGATGACAACGGTGGTGGTGGGTGTGGGTATGGGTGGTGGTGGACGACGATGATGATGGTTGACAGTAGTGGTGGTGGGATGACGATGGTGGTGGTGGGCAGTGATGATGGTGAGCGATGATGGATGCTTTTAGACGACAATGTGATAGGTGGTGGCGAATGACGACAGTGGTAAGCATGGTGGGGGTAGGTGATAATGGGTGGCTGCAGTAGTGAGCGATGACAGGTGGTAGTGGTAGGTGTGTGGTGGGGTAGGTGACAGTGACTGGTGATGATGGTGGGCGACGATGAATGGTGGTGCGTGCTAATGGTGAACGACGATGGTAGTGGAATGATAGTAATGATGGTAATAAATATAAGAATAAGATGACGATGATAGTGAGTGACAGCCATGGAAGACGATAGTAACAATCAGTGGTAGTGGCAATGAGGCAATAAGGTTGGGGTGGGGGTGGATGTAGGGCAGTGGCTATGATGGGGGTGGCAGTGGTGGGTTGGCAATGGTGGTGGTAGTTGTGATGGTCATGGGAATGGTGGTGGGGCGGTGGGGGTGATAGTGGGACAGTAGCGATGGTGATGAGGTGGGACAACAGTGGTGATTAGGTATGGTGGTGGTGGGGCGATATAAGTGGTGGGATAGTGGTGATAATGATAATGATGATGGTGGGATGGTGGTGGTAGTGGTGGGTGATGATGGTAGTGGTTATGGTGGGTGGTGGGGCAATAGAAGTGATAATGGTGGTGGTAAGGTGGCGGTAGTGGTGGTGGGGTGGTGGGAATGGTAGGGTGGTGATAATAATTGTGGTGGCAGCGGTGGGGGTGAGGGTGAGGGTGAGGGTGGTGCTGGTAGTGGTGATGGTGGTCGAGCGGTGGGGGTGGTGGTGGTAGAGGTAGTGGTGGGGCGGTTTCAAATACTATTTTTTTTAAAAAACTTATGAGAAATAATTTTTAGAAATACTTTTAAAAAGTCACTCAAAACATACCATTTGTGGCCTATTTTTCTTATTAAATTTAGAGTGTTAATAATAGTGGTTAGATTAACTTTAAAGTAAAATTTAAAAAGATCTCAACCGCGAATAACAAAAGTTATTATATTTATCTTTTGAGATTTAAATTATATTGTACTTTATTATATAGAATAGTTATTGCCTGTGCTTGAAGGCACAAAATAGTAAAAAAATAGTCAATAATAAATATATTTGTATTTATATCCAAAATTAAATCACAAATATAGAGGAGATATAAAAGAATTAAGCATCAGTTGTAGTGGGGGTGAGAGGTGGCGGACGACAATGGTGGTGGTAGAAGACGGTGATGGTTGTGGTGTGCGACAATGACTGTGGTGGTGGTGGTGGTAGCCATGAGTGGCAACAATGATAGTAGTAGTGGCAAAGATGGGTGACGACGGTGGTGGTGGTGAGTGTGAGTGTGGGTGGTGGTGGGCGTTGGTGATGGGTGTTGCCAGTCGTGGTGGTGGGGCGACGACAGTGGTGGACGATGACGGATGTTTCTGAGCGACAATATGATGAGTGGTGGCGAATGACGGTAGTAGTAGGTCGGGTGGGTGTGAGTGACAGTGAGTGGAGGTAGTGGTTGGCGATGCTGGTGAAGGGGGGTGGTGGTAGGTGTGGTGGGGGGTGAGTGATAGTGGTTGTTGACAACGGGTGATGGTGAGTGGCAACGATAGTCGTGAGATAATGGTGGTAGTGATAATAAATATACGAATGTGATGACGATGGTGGTAAGTGGTGGTAGTGACGATGGTGGTGGTGGGGTGGGGTAGTGGTGTGGGTAGCAGCGACGGTGGTGGTGGTCGTGAGGTGGTAAGAGTGATGGTGGGATGACAATTGTGGTGGTAGTAGGGATGGTGGTGGTAGTAGGGTGGCGGCAACGGTGGTGGTGGTGGGGGCGACGGGTGTGGTGGTGGGGGCGGCATCGACAGTGGGGGTGGTAGTTATTGTTGTAGAGGTGGTGGTGGTGGGGTGGCGATGGGGTGATAGAGGTGGAGGTGAGATAGTTCTAAACACTACTTTTTTTTTAAAGTAGTTATAAGAAGTTTTAAGTCATTGAAACACTTTTAAAACGTCACCATAAACACACTTTTAGTGGCCTATTTTTTCCATTAAATTTGATGTGTTAATATTAGCCGTTGAATTAATTTTAAAGTAAAATTTAAAGAGATCTCAACCGCAAAAAACAGAAATTATTTTGTTTATCTTTTGAAATTTGAATTGTATTTTATTTTATTATATAGACTAGTTATTGTCTGTGCCTGAAGGCACAATATAATAAAAAAAGACAAACAAT